GCAATATGTGATGATCAAATCAGGGTAACTTCTTTGTGATAAGAACATTTGATTTCCTCTCCTTTAGACATTTGAGAACATACAATAAATTATTGTTAATTATAGATGCCTAGCAGAACTGTACACATATTTTGACACTCAGGTGCAAACATTTTAAGGTTTGTCATCTCTTCTTGGAGCATTGGCCCCTTTATCATCATGTAATGCCCTTCTTTATTCCTGATAATTTTTGTTGCTCTGAAGTGTGCTTTTTCTGAAATTAATATTGGTACTCCAGCTTTCTATTGATTAGTTAGTATACTATATATTTCTCTATCCCTTTACTTTTGATCAGTGTGTGTCTTTATATTTAAACTCAGCTTCTCATAGACAACATATTGATGGGTCTTGTTTTGTTATCCACTATTCCAGTATCTGGGGTTTTCCTGTTATTTTTTTGTTTTGTTTTTATTTTTATTTTGCTCAACACAAAATTTTATAGAAAGTGTGTTCACATTTAAGTAAAGACAAAAAAATGTTTTTTGACATTTGAGGTTACTAGAGCACACAAGCCAATATCTGTCTTTTAATTGGTGTATTTAGACCATTCACATTTAAAGTAATTATTGATATAGTTGGATAAATAGCTCCCATATTTGTTACTATTTTTTTATTTGTTGCCCTGGTTATTTTTTCTTTTTCTTTCTCCTTGTCTTCCACACTTTTGTTACCTTTTCTGGTATTAATTGAGCATTTTAGGTGATTCTATTTTCTCTCTCTTTTTTAGCATATCAATTACGCTTAATTTTAAAATTAGTTAGAGGTTGTCTTAGAGTTTTCAATACAAATTTACAACTAATCTAAGTTCATTTTTACAAATATCACTATACCACTTCATGGGTAATGCAAGTAAGACAGTATTTTCAATTCCTCCTTATCATCCCTTGCACCATATTGCTGTCATTTTTTAAATTATCCTTAAGGTATAATCACCAACACATTGCTGCTATTATTATTTTGGATGGACTATTAGATTACTTAACAATAAGAAGATAGTATTTTAATTTACCTTAATTTATTCCTTCTTTAATGCTTGTCCTTTCTTTATGCAGATTGAAGTTTCTAATCTATATAATTTTCCTTCTCTCTAGGACCTTTCAGCATTTTTGGCAAGACACGGCTACTGGTATGGTAACAAATTCCCTCAATTTTTGTTTGCCTGAGGAAGTCTTCTTTATTTCTTTTTCACTTTTAAAGGGAAATTTCACTGGATACAAAATTCTAGGTTGGTGAAGGGTATTTTTTCAACATTCTAAATATTTCACACCACTGTCTTCTTGCTTGCCTGGTTTCTGAAGAGAAGCCCACTGTAATTCTTGTCTTTGTTCCTGTATGGGAAGGAAGCATTTTTTTTTAACCTTTGTCCTTTTTCAAGATTTTCTCTTTGTCTTTGATTTTCTGCAGTTTCTATATGATATGCCTAGTTGCAGTTTTTGGTATTTATCCTGCTTAGTGTTCTCTGAGCTTCTCGAATCTGTGATTTGGTGTCTCACATTAATTTTGGAAAATTCTCAGTCATTGTTACTCCAAATATTTCTGTTACTCTTTTCTATTTTTCTGGTATTCCCATTACTCCATTACATTAGTATTCCCATTACCCCATTAATGTCTCACATTAATTTTGGAAAATTTTCAGTCGTTGTTACTTCAAATATTTCTATTACTCCTTTCTATTTTTCTAGTATTCCCATTACCCCATTACATGTTCACTATACCTTTTGTAATTGTCATATGTTTCTTAGATATTCTGTTCTTTTTTCTTTTCTTTTCTTTTTTCTCCACCCTTTCTTCACTTTGGTTTTCAGTTTGGGAAGATTTTATTGACATATCTTCAAGCTCACTTATTCTTCCCTGGGCTGTCTTCATTTTATAGATGATCCCATAAAAGGAATTCTTCATTTTGTTAGAGTGTTTATTTCTAGCATTTCCTTTTGATTCTTTCTTAGAGTTTCCATTTCTCTGCTAAATCTCCCATGTGTTCTTCTATACTATATACTTATTTTATTCCCTTAATATCAGTTATTTTAAATTCCCAGTCTAAGAATACTAAAATATTTGCTATGCCTGAATTTGATTCTGATGCTTGATCTGCCCCTTTGGACTGTGTTTTGTTTATCTTTTATGCCTTGTAATTTTTTGTTTAAAGCCACAAATGATGCATCAGGTAAAAGGGACTGAGATAAATAGGCCATTAGTGGTAAGTTTAGGTTGATGTGGCTGAGAGTTAACCTGTCTTAACTGTTTTCCATATCTGTGGTTTTTGAGGTTAAATTTTCCTCTAGTGTTCTTATTTACATCCCCCTTATATTTGGCTCTCTCTAGAGTACACAACTTAAATAGGATCTGAGGCTTGCAGTTCTTTTAGCTGTAATCCCCTTTTATTGTATAAGAGCCATATTGTGGTGGTGGTAAAATGTGAAGAGAGAAGCATTCTATAACCCTATGATTAAGTCTCACTCCCTTAGCAAGCCTGTATCCCTGGGCTGTGACTTTCACTAGTGTTTTTCAGTTTGCACCCACCTTAAGTGAGACAGGAAGGCTCAAGGGGGCTAGAATTGTATGTCCCTCCAGCTTTTGGAGTGGTGCTGCCCTGTGTGTGATCTCAGTCTCTAATCAATCTAAAAAAGAGTTGGTGATTTTCAGAGTGTTCAGCTTTTTTCTTGTTTCAAGAATGGGAGAAATTACTTCTAAGGTCTTTGTACGTCAGACTGAAAACCAGAAATCCTTTAAGTCACTCTCCTTTATGACATACCTTAATCACTTCTTTTCTAATTTCTCATAACATAATATTTACAACTTTTCTGACATTCATTTTATTTGCTGTTGCTTAATATTTCACTTTGTTAAGATTTTACCCTTATAACTTCTTTAAAGTAAAACATCATAACTTATTTTTGTATGCTTAATAACTGATGAATTTCATTAAGATTTGGGACATCACATTAAAATATCTCAGATTTCCTTTGTTGTTTTAATCCCAGGGTTTAATGGAAGAATGAAAGTCTCAGGGAAAGGAGTAATGGAACTCTTCTCCCAGATTTTCTGTTTGTAAGAAAAGTATGATTTTAGCCAAGTAATATATATAAGACCCACTTTGCTGCAGAAAGACTTCTGAGTCTTTGCAGTCACTAAAAACATCACCTAAACCTGAATTTGTATACATTAGCCACAGTTTGATTATTAAGTAATAATAATACTTATAATTTATACAGTATCTACTATATGCAACTCACTGTATAAGTATTTTATCACTTTTAGCCCTCACAATAATCTTAAGTGCGTGTATTTTTATCCCCATTTTGTAGCTCTGGAAACTGAGACTGAAAAGTTAGGTGACTTCTCCAAAGCCAAACAGTGATGTGGAATTCAAAAGATGTGGAATTCAAACCCAAGTTCATGTGATTCCAGCTAACATTCTTTTTTTTTTTTTTCCTTTTTGTCTTTTTTCGTGTCCGGCAACGGATCGCAACCCTCAGTGTCGCGCCCGTACCAGACCAGGACCGGCAACGGGATTGCAACCCTCGGTGTCGCGCCCGCACCTCGCTCAGCCAGTGAGCGGGAACCGGTCTGTATGTGGGATCCGAACCCTTGGCGGGAG